TTTTTTTTTTTTTTTACTCCCATGAAACTCTGTGATATGGCCATCTTATTATCTCCATTATACAGCTGAGAAAGTTGAAGTTCAGGGAGAGAGGGTCAGTGAACACAGCCATCAGCTCGCGCTTCAGCTCGCCAACTTTTGCGATTTATTTAGTTGGTTTTCATTCATGAATGCATTAAAGAGCCTCACTACTGAAGCAGCTGTAGGTTCTATTTGTTTCAACACTGCAGTGGAGGCGGGGAGCACAGCTTCTCTGAATCCTGCAGAGCAGGATGGTCCTACTTCAAGAGTTACAGTGAACAACTTGGTCTCAATTCCTTATTTCAGCTTGAAGACCCTCTCGTGGTGCTTGGCTAGGAGGTGCTCTCATCACCATCGTCACCATTGTTTTAATTACTACTTACTATTAAACACTTTCTGTGTGCCAGATACTGTGCTGAGCACTTCACGGCATTATTTCGTGGAAATTTTATAGTAACCCTATGAGGTTGTTGCTTTTTTCTCCTCATTTCACATGTGAGTGGAAAGAAGCAATGACTCTCCCCAGGTCCTTGACAGCAGCAGAGATGGGACTCGAACCCACATCCTATCTGACTCCAGAGACCACCTTCCTAAGCACAGTGGTATTCTGCTCCAACACTAGACTTGACTCTCACTCTGAAGGTTTCTACATTAGGCCCTTCTTTCTTTGGATTTGGATGGGTCTAATCTAAAAGCTGGGTTCATCTGGGCAATAGCTTCAGATTTTGACAACTGGTGCTGGTGGTAGCTGTTTATTCACATTTTGAACTATTAATGGTTCTGAGGTTCATTACCTCAGGAGGCAGCAATCCTTTCTTTTTAAGTGCTACCTGGTGGGTGAAGTGTTGATGGTTTCCCCGTGCAGATAGTCAGGTAACAAAGCATCTTTCTCATACATCAGCATTGCAGCCCCTCATCAGAAGCAGGGCGTCCCTGGGGGCCTTGGTGACATGGCAGGAAATCAGCCTTCATGGCGGAGCACATCATAAAGTGACATCTACCTTCTTTCATTTCAATCCAGTTGCTTTCAAAAGTGCAGAAAGCATCAGAACTTGACAGCTTGCTTTTCTGATAGACCAAACAGTGGTTACTGGGACCTAAGGGGAAAATCTTGTTAATCATTTATGTTTCAATAATTTGTTCTCACTGTAGGAATTCTCAGAGATGTCCTGGTTCTGTGTAAGAAAAATTATAGACAGGAAAGGAGGATTTTACTACTTATGCACTGCATGCAAGTTAATAATATACTAACCAATTGGATAATTGTAAAGCCTACATATATTTAACGTATTATGTGAATACTAATTAATAATACTATAAACTCACAGAGCAAGCAAAAGCATGTCTGATTCTAGGAGCTTTTATTTGCATTTCTACAGAATGTATTATTAGTGGATCTCAAAGCATCTTACAGTAATGATTAAAGCCTATAAATATGTCCAGCAACATGAAATAATTCTTTCTTTATTTTTTTATTAAATCATAGCTGTGTACAGGAATGCAGTCATGGGGCACAATGTGCTGGTTTTATATGCAATTTGAAATATTTTCATCAAACTGGTTAACATAGACTTCACCGCATTTTCTTAGTTAGAAATAATTCTTCTTTACCTCACACATATCATGAGACTTAAATACCTGAGCAAAAGTGGGATTCTCCATACATGGCGTGTTCACGCACCGAGCGTGTTCAGGGACATAGAAACTGGCAGCTGTGGATTTGGGGCTCTCCTCAAGCATTTCAATTGATGTGGTTAGAACGCTCCACTTAATTTTGAAATTTTACCTGCACAGTAGCTCTAAACAAAGCTTGTCAGTTTATTACAATATTTCTCTATTGATTATACTATCAAATTTTAAGCATAAAAAATTATGCCAAATTCCAAGAAAAGTATTTTAAAATATTTTTGGAATATTCCATTAGACTTATTTCTCCTCAAGCTAATGTCCTGTTCTGGGAACTAATCACTAACTCTAGCAAGTAGTTGAAATGTTGTGAGTCTTTCTAATCTGCTTCAGAACACTCCCCTGCCCTCTCTCCTCTAATTCTCCTCCTTTGCCACTCCCATACTCTCTAAGCACCAGTTGGAAAAGCACGAGAATGTGGCTAATGCCTGATTCTGTCCGTCTCAAGTCCTTGGATGAATGGTCCTGTGGGTCCCCGAAGTCTCTCAATTTGATACCAGAAGAAGAGGGAGGATCAGGGTTTGTGCACCTAGTATCAGAGTCCTCAGGGAATGGGGCTAATTACAAATCCCTGGGAAGCAGTGACATTGGTAGACTGGAGGGTTGTTTATAGAATTACTTAGATAGGCTTTATTCTGCCAGATGGGCTATACTTCAAAATTCTGATTTTCATATTTTTTCAGGGAAAACCGAGGCTGCTATCAAAAACTTCAGCCCCTACTACAGTCGTCAGTACTCCGTGGCTTTCTGCAATCATGTGCGCAGTGAAGTAGAACAGCAAAGAGATTTGACCTCACAGTTTTTGAAGACCAAGGTAAACATGGATATTTTGGTTCATGTATTTCTCCCACTGAAGAAAGCTTTATAGCTGATAATATTTTTGAAATAAACAATGGTTTGAATGGCAGTTTTAAAAACTCTGCTCTGAAATCATTTCATGCCCCAGAAACTCTCTTTGCCTGGAAGTTAGGATATGTTACCTCTTGTTGGTAGCGTAATCCATACAAAATGAAAACTAGCATGATTCCAGTTTCGCTGTGTGTTTTTTCCCACATGGATGCTTTGATATCAGAAAATTTGGCTTGCTGTCATGAAGTTCAGTTTTTAAAAAGTCATAATTTCAGTGTCTTGTGCTGTGAACATTTTTATTTTGGTCTTTGATCAAATACGATTTTCCTCTTCAAATCCTCTCATTTATTCTTATTTCTTTGCTCCATTATAATAATTAACCACAACCTCAACAAATATTTACCAGCACCTACTATGGATGTGCAGGTCGTAGTCTAAGAACTGTGAAATTGGACAAATTCTCTGTCTTCTTGGAGTTTACATTTACACACAGGAGACAGATTACAAATAAACAAATGACTGTCAGGTGATATCAGGTAACAATAAATGCTACAAAGGAAAATAAAACAAGTCTTTTTAGTGAGGGTGATTAGGGAAGTCCTCCATGGAGATGACATTTGAGCAGAAACTGGAGTGAAATTAGAGTAGGCTGTGTGAAGATCTGTGGGGGGCGTATTCCAGGCAGAGGGAGCAGCGAGTGCAAAGACCCTGTGGCAGGGAGGGAAGGCCAGAGAGCACTGTGAGGGAGGGGGGAGGGAGGAGCAGTGGCTACGGAGAGACAGGTGGGGACCAAATCGTGTAGTCCTGTAGGCCATGATAAAGGTTTTGATTTTGTCTTAAGTGTGATGGGAAATCCCACTGGGGGGGCAGGTATTGAATATAGAGGGCAATAGAGTTCCGAGTGATCTTTCTGGCATCTCTGTAAAGAATAGACTCGGGGGAGGGGTGAGAGAGGAAATTAGGAACGAGTGAGGATACTGTGGTGCCCAAGGAAAGATGATGGGACTGAGGTGGCCATGGTTGTGAGAAGAGGTATTTATGGTAGAGCTCACAGAACTTACTAGTGATAAAAGAAGAAAGAATTCTGTGGTGACTTCTTGGTTTCCAACTTAAATAAATAAGTGGATGCAGCTGCTGTTTACTGAGAAGGAAGAGTCCAGGTGAAGTGGATCCTGAGTGCCCTTCTGGCCACGTTAAGGCTGAGATCCTTATTTGGCACACACCTGTGGAAATATTGAACAGGCGATTGGATGTTCTGATCTGAGGCTCAGTAGAGTGATCAAGGCTGGAAAATAGAAAGCTGGGACATGTTCGTTTACAACTGGTATTGAAGTCCTGAGACATAATTAAGGGAGAGAATAAGAGAAAAGAAACAGTGCACCAGCCCCACCAGTATCTGCAGATCAGCAAAAGGAGAAGGATCAGCCAAATGGACTAAGAAGAGTGGAATGGGGGGTGGGGGGAAATCCAGAAAGTGGGATGTCCCAAAGGCAAATAAAGGGGGGTTTTTGAGAAGGAGTGAGTGATACATGAGTCAAATATTGCTGCCAGGTTGCGTGAGTTAACCATAGATTTAGCAGCTTGACAATGTAGAGATAATTGATTGTGTTCCCCATAAAACAGTGATTCTTGAAATTTAGGAGCTTATTAAGAATGCAAATTCTGGCCAACACCTCCCAGAGATTCTGATAAAGTAAGTCTGGGCGAGGCCACGTTTTTAATAAGCTTATCCATTGATTAAGTGGCCCAGGGTTTAAAAGCTGCACATAAGAAGTATAAAGTGCTGTTTATACCATGGCTTCAGTCTCATTTAAAGAGATGAGTGAGGTTCTCTCCTATCTATTAATGAGGCAAAATGAGAGACTGCCTCATTATCTGAGGACAGAATATTAAGCACTGGACTTTGGAAGGGAATTTGTTTTATCCCATAGAAGATTCTTAGAAGAGACTGGCATATCTGTCTTCATATGGCTCACGTAAATTTTTGCATGAAAGTAGAGGGTATGAAACATACCCTCTAGGCAGTATTACTGCCTCAAGGCAGTATTTTTTTTTTTAATAAAAGGATAGATGTAAAGGATCAGCACCCATAGCAGAGTGGTTATGGTGCCAGCCTCATACACTGAGGGTGGGGGGTCTGAACCCGGCCCGGGTCAGCTAAACAACTGCAACAATAACAACAAAAAATAGCCAAGCATTGGTGGTGGGCACCTGTAGTCCCAGCTACTTGGGAGGCTGAGGCAAGAGAATCGCTTAAGCCCAAGAGTTTGAGGTTGCTGTGAGCCGTGACGCCACAGTACTCTACCAAGAGCAACATAGTGAGACTCTGTCTCAAAAAAAAAAAAGTAAATTCAGTGGCATGTAAAAGACAAGAGGCCCATTCATATATTTTGAAATAATGTGGGAATGGCACAATGAGGCAGGCTGAGAATTATCCTCACATAGCCCAATGGAGGACCTAACCCAGAATCCAGTGGAACCGCATCTATAGCACATGCACCACCCAGATGAATGAGAAATCCTCAAACTTTAAAGTAGAGAGGTAGAACTGCGGTTTATTGGCTACATACCTGCTTGTTCTTTAACCCAAGAGCAAACATGGTCTCCTTGAGCAGCCCTAGGAGAGCGTAAATATTTACAGCCTGGCTTCTCAGGGCTCTGGGGTCTGAAAAAACCACTGACACCAGGTGTGAGGCCACACCTGCAGGTGTGATGGAAATGGGAAGACCCTATCAATGCTCCTGCAGTTCAGGAATGACCCTGAGGCATGTTCAGGGTGTGTAATAGGCATCCACTCGCATACTTTCCTGCCTCATTCCCTCTCTCCCACAGGGTTTGTAAAAAATTTATCAAGTTGTATGTGTCTATTCCTATACATAATGGAAGGAAATTCAAATCATAAAAATTCAATACGACAAATATTTGCATTTGGTCACAAGAAACAGGAAAGGGAAATTGTGGAGGGAAAGGAGGAGGCACCAATTTTCCCCACGATCTCGGTGCCAGATAGTTTTGAAATACCGCGGATACCTGGGTAGTAACAAGGTGTGCTATCATTTGTTGTGATGGTTAATTATATTCCTCTTCTTGAAGCCACCCTTGGAGCCTGGAACTGTTTTGTATGAAGCAGAGCTGTCACAGTTTGCTGAAGACATAAAAAAGTGGAAGGACCGATACGTTGTGGTCAAAAATGATTTTGTTGTGGAGAGCTATGAGAACAAAGAGGTAAGACGTTTTATTGGTACCATGAGTTTTTGCAATATTCTTTAAACATTGGCTGGGTTGATTGGCATACCCTCTACTTGGAGATTGATTCATTCAATAAGTACTTATTCAGGTAGGTAGTCATTTCAGCAAACAGATATTTACTAAAGGCTTACTATATACCGGGTGTTACACAATGTTCTGGGCATATAGCAGTCGATCAGAGAGATGCTTGCACATTAGTGGGAACGATAATCTTTGAACAAGTGATTGCAAGTGAGTGTGAAAATAGGATGTTGGGCTGAGTGACCAGTGTTTGGTTAGGAGCCTTTCCAGTGATCATGCAGCCTAGAGGTCCTTCTCAGTTGCTGTCCTGATATCTCTCCTTCTCTGCTCCATCACTGTCTTCTTACTCCGAAGCTTCACACACCCATATGACAGATATTTGAGGTATTATTATTATTGAGACAGAGCCTCAAGCTGTCACCCTGGGTAGAGTGCTGTGGCATCACAGCTCACAGCAACCTCCAACTCCTGGGCTTAAGTGATTCTCTTGCCTCAGCCTCACAAGTACCTGGGACTACAGATGCCTGCCACAATGCCTGGCTATTTTTTGGTTGTAGTTGTCATTGTTTGGCAGGCCCAGGCTGGATTTGAACCTGCCAGCTCTGGTGTATGTGGCTGGTGACTTAGCTGCTTGAGCTACAGGCACCAAACCATCACAACAAATGATGTTGAAGTATTATTTAACAAAGTTTTCTGGCACTTAAGAATTCAGAATCCATTTACATCTATGGATTTTTATTCACTTAACTTTCTTTTGGTTATCTCATTATTTTCCTTATCTATAAAACATGGAGAAAATGAGATAATGTCTGTAAAGCGTCTAGCACCTGGGAGGTCTTCAGTTTTTATTGGTTCCCATTTCTTTCCCCAAGTAGGGAGGTAGCATGGTATGTGGGAAAGTATATTGGCAGTGAATTTGGAAAACTGAAGTTTAGGTCAAGTTGTGTCACTAACTAGAAGTAAACATGTTGACTTAGAGCAGCAGTTTTCAACCTGTGGGTCACGACTCCTTTGTAACAATGAAAATACATTGTGGCATAGGAAGGTTGAGAACCACTGACTTATAGAGAGTGGGTCAAATGACCCCCATGGTTCCTTTTGCATCTCATCTGGTGTGCATTTTGTAGTCTCCTTCACTTTTCAAACTCCCTAAAGATAAAAGCAGATTTAAGCAGATTTAAAACTGCTGTCTGGGGGTGGCACCTATGGCTCAAAGGAGTAGGGTGCCGGCCCCATATGCCAGAGGTGGCAGGTTCAAACCCAGCCCCGGCCAAAAACTGCAAAAAAAAAGAAAAAAAAATCTGCTATCTGGACTCTAAGTTCAAGAGTCATCAAGACCACCTCCACAGACTACCCTGAGCAATAACTAACTCTGAGGCTAACCCAGAGGAAGAGGCTTCAGACTGACCTACCAATGTGTTTCATTCCCATTTCTGATGGGAGATAGAAGTAAAATACAGTGCACAGGTTCCCAGACAAGGCTCAAGGGCCCTCTTGGCTGGACTTACTCTTTTGAACGTACACAAGCTAACAGTTTCTCTGTTTATCTATATTAGGATTTCATTCAATATTTAATTTCTACTCAGAAACAAATGATCAATGTGGTACAAATAATATTAATGATGACAGATCACCTTGTAGTTGGTATGGCTTGTTATAATTTCCTTTCAGGGAAGCGGGAGGATAGACAGCATAACATCATGGTTAATACCTCTGAGTCATACCCTTACCACTGACTCTCATTTGTCTACAGGGTGATCCCTTTGTCATGGTGGGGTGGTGGGGGCTGAATGAGGCACTGTAGCACTTAGCACGTGGCCAGGCCTGTGGCAGAGTCCAGAATAGAGTAGTTGTCAGTATGGCCACTGCCAACCTGCTGGGAGGAAAACCCCCAGAGCTCACTGTTGGATTTATTATGGTTTTCACCACATTGGACATGAATGGAAATTTCATTTTTAATCAAATCTTGGTGTTTTTTCTCTTTTTTGCTTAATTTAAGCTTGTTCCCTCAATGGCAATTTGTGCATTATGCTGCTTTTTCTTTGTGCATCATTTTTATATGCACCTGCTCAGGTTGTTAAGGTATGTTGACTGGATTTGATAATCACAAAATATTAAAAAAAAAAAAACCCTTGGGTGTCCAGAAAGAGTCTATTCAGTTTTCCATAATTCTTCTGAGTTTTAATAATATCTTGTTTTTTTTTAATTTATAGCTTTGTTTTTTTTTTTTTTTTTTGAGACGGAGCCTCAAGCTATCCCCCTGGGTAGAGTGCCATGGCATCACGCTCACAGCAACCTCCAACTCCTGGGCTCAAGCAAGTCTCCTGCCTCAGCCTCCCAAGTAGCTGGGACCACAGGCGCCTGCCACAACGCCCAGCCATTTTTTTTTGGTTGCAGCCGTCATTGTTGTTTGGCGGGTCCGGGCTGGGGATTCGAACCTGCCACCTCAGGTGTATGTGGCTGGGGCCCTAGCCGGTTGAGCCACAGGTGCCGAGCCTATAGCTTTGATTTTTAAGATTACATCTAAGAGTTACATGTGAAATACCTATAAAATGGCTTGTTATTTTATTGAACGTACAATTTTGGTTGGTGATTAAATAGGAAAATGAAGCATTTTGAGATTTAGTTCCTTGTCCTGGGCTGGACAGACATGAGTATGGCTCTTGGGTTTCTCATCTACTCACTAATGGGCCATCAGGAGGTTATTTAACCTTTTTAAGAGTCATTTTTCTCATTTGCAAAATGGAGATAATATCTAATGCATAGTATCATTTTGAGAATTAAATGATAGAATGTTTAAAACACCAATATCGAGGCCTGTTATGACTAAGAACACAATTCCCGTCTGAGTCCAGTCTAAATCACATTGCTTCTAAACATTCTCAGAAGCATGAAAGTTTGGAGTCTTCTCTTTTGTTCTAAGTTCTTGATGTGTTTGTGCAGTTAGTTAATTACCAGGCCTTTCAGAAATGAAAATGAGCTTGTTTGTTATCTGAGAGTTTGTTTGGTTTGGGTCTCTCCGTCATTTATGGATTAAGCATGTGTTCTTGTTATTCAGATTTTTTTGCGTAGATGAACATTATTTTAATTATTATGAAGAGTATGGTCTAAATTTGGGGTCTCGTAGTTTTTGGTTTCAAGTCTCAACCTGCCTTTAGACTGTGAATCTCAAACTTTTGCCTTGACTTAAGTCCTCCCATCAGATGCACATACTGACGTTATATCTGATCTGTATGTCCTGGGGGTGGACCTGCTGGACAACCTGCTTCAGCAGTGTCCTGGGCCTCTTTGTGTTTCTGAAACTGCTTGATTTCATGATAGTAGACTTCCATTCCGATCATTTTACTGCAGAAATAGTTTCACATCTGAGGGCAGAGTGGTGGCCTATTTTATCATGGCAACATTTTAATAGTTTTGATGGAAATCCATGGCAACCATCTTTGTAGTTCCACATTCTGTGGTTGCATGAGTCATCGTACGCAGCCCACATCAGTCACCCAGCATTTGGTGCCATGTCTGTGTAAGCGTCACTGTTGTGGTTATTATCAGAATGATTCAGGCGTGAGCACCTGAAATGGAACATAATGTGTGGATTTTCTAGAAGTTACTGGGTTGTGTTTTCCCCATTTGAGAACATACCTACAGTGAGTCTCTCTGAGATTAGAGACTTTGAACTTACTGTGTGTGACCATCATGGCAGAGTATTGAAGTACTACCTTGCAATTAGCAGGTATGCAAAACGTACTTTTTGAATATATGATTCTCACTCACTGACATAAGATGGGGATTGCTAACTCTGGATGTAAGTGTCTAGGTCTACTTTCAATGTTCGTCATATTTTCCAAAAACATAAATGGGGGAACGAAAACAGTTCATTTATATTATACCTTTGCTTCCCCAGGCCTATCAGAGAGGAGCTGCTCCTAAAAGCCGAATTCTTCCTGCGAGTGGAAAGGTACTGACCTCAGAAGAAGAATATAATCTGTTATCTGACAAGCATTTCCCAGACCCCCTGGGTGAGTTGCTAGCATTCTTTTTCAAGGCAAAATCCTCAAACTTCTTTGTTTAGCTAGACTGGTAGTTGTTAATCAGGGGCAGGGACTTAACCCTCCAGGGACATTGGACACATTTTTGGTTGTCATACCTGGAACGGGAGACAGAGGCATTTAGTGGGCAGTGGCCAGAGGCGCTGCTAAGCCTCCTGCAATGCACAGGACAACCCAGCAATGGAGAATTATCTGACTTAAAATCTTGGCAGTGCCAAGGTTGAGAACCTCTGGGCTAGACATGTGAGTTCTGTAAACAAATGGAAGATTTAATTTCTCTAATTTAGGTAAACATGGTACCATTTCTATTATTTAAAATGCTATTCAGTAATAGACAAGTCAGAACTATGTTTTTAGTGCATGGAAAATGTGCTATTAGTCAGGTCCCTTGAAGCTGTTGGAATATATTGCAGACGTGGATAGCACCCCACAGGGCAGCAGAAATAAACAGGTCCCAGTGCACAAAATGTTCAGTCCCTTCCTCTAGTAAGCAAGCTTGAACCTGTCAGAGAATATTATTTTTCTAATTTAGGGTATTGCAATAAAATACCCTAAATCAGAAAGAAAAAAAAAACCCTTTTAATAAGAGATACAGTAACTCATATCTATGGTATAAAAAACCATTGCATTAATATGCATATCTATAAATGAAGCTGACTGCTGCCATGGAAAGAGCATTGAACTGAGGATTGGGAGACTGGGTTTTTATGTAGTTCGGACTGTGCCACTTACCACGTTTTACAGTAGCCAGCCGCTGAACCTCTCTGGTTACTGTCTCTCAATTCAAAAACAGGGCTTTGGACTTTAAAATCTAGAAGGTTCTCTCCAGTTCTAACATTCTTTGATTCTCATTCATTTTACTTTTTTCATGTACAGAATGTGATAGCTAATATACCCCATATAGACCAAATAGGGCGATTCATAGAGATTTATGAGCTGTGGATAACATGACAACTCCATCTGGCTCTGTGTAAATCATACCACACAGTAATTACATGGTTTCTTGCAGAGAGCCCTGGTTCTTATTAATGGGCAGAGTCATTTCATTAGAATTTATGGAGAAAAATATAATCGTTTTTTTCAATTGTGATTTCAGTGCAGAATGCTTAGTATGGTGGTTTTGATAACACAATTATAGCATTAGTACATGGACCATGAACCTAGATTAACAAATTATTACCCAAACAGCGCTTTATGTGTGCTGTGCATATTATTAGATATCCTTTTAACATCTACTTATATGGAGCTGCAGCTAGAAATGGAATGCCAACACGCTGACTCTTTAAAATGTCTCCAGAATTTTCCAAATGAAATCAGCCAGATCAGACAATATATTTACTGATTTATTGATGAAATCATGCCGGAAAGCATGAAAAGGGACAAAAAAATACAAGGCGTGTGTGACTAATCCCTGTTGGCCCAGGGTTTCAGATTGGGGCATTTCCATGACTTTAAATTGTACAGTATGGTCTTCAGAGTTTTAAAAATAGAATATTCTACAGTGGATCATTTGTGATATCTTGGTAACTCAGTGTAGAAAAAATGCAGACTGATGGCATCTGGAAAATTATTGTAAAAGGTTAAGTGGGAGATAACTAGAGGCTAATAGTGAATTTCATGGGGCTTGCCGAGGCTTTTAAACACAAAGGGTCAATATTGCTTTTGGTTGTCTGACCAAAATTATGACATTTTTGGAGAGGGCAAGGAAAATTGTTTTATAAAACCGTGTCCATCGGGAAGACTCACGGTGTGATACCATTTCTACTGGAAAGAATAAAGACACGATAAAGGTGCAATAGATTAACCTTGCTCAAGGAAAAGCATTAGAGGCTTAAGAACAAATGTATTTCTTTACAGAGTGTTCAGCTAAAATGACGCATCGAAAATGCCCCCATGCTTTGCTATAGTGATTCACTTATAAGGCATTTTACTTGGATTAGTTAGAATCTGGCTCGCTGCACAGAACAAAACACTCAAATTAAACACATCAAGTTTTAGCATCTCGCTAAAAACCTTTGGATATTTCTCAAGACTGGTGTGGCAGATCCATCAATGTGTTAGAGGCTTGGGCTCTTCCCAGCTCTCTCTCCCTTTATTTCTAGGTTGTGACCCCTGTTGGCAGATCTAGCTGCCGGAGCTCCCGCCAGAGCTTTCTCCTTCCAGATAGCAAGACGGAGAAAAGGGGAGGAGGACACATTCTATTTTCCTTAGGGGTATCATCAGGGAGTTTCTTTCATAAGCCATTCCAGTTTGCATCCTATAGGCTATAACTTAGTAGCTGTGAGCGCAGCAAGCTGCCGGGGAGACTGAAAGTGTGGTTTTTATTTTATGCTATCATTTTGCCCAATGGAAAATCAAGGGTTTTGAATTACTGAATAGAAGGAGAGAAGAAATATTGTGTTACAACTTTAGGTCTCTCTACAGCACCCAGCCATTGCTTTGTTTGTTCATTCATACACGGATTTATTCTTGTGTTATTTTGTGCCAAGCATTTTGCTAGGTCCTGGTGGGCCAGAGTCCGTGTACCCCGTGCATGCTACTCTGTCACCTTCAGGTTCCAGGGCACAGGAAGCACAGACAGGGCTCCCATATGGGCTCTGGGAATCTATTGTATATTTAAGCCTCTCCTGATTTATTAACTTGCTGATAGCTGACTCGGCTCCGGAGTCTCCCTTGTGGTAGTGATTCGTTTCATGGTGTGCCCAGAATCCTCAGTGGGCTTTTAGGGGGTCCCTCTTTCTTTCCTTTTTCTGAGATATAGGTGTCTCTGCTTGTTCTCCATGACTCTGGAAGCGAGCTGGAATTCATTTAGCCAAGTACAATATCATGTCCTAGGAATGCATGGAAAGGAAAAAGTTTAGGTACGGGCTTTGAATTCTGTGCTGGGCATTGATTTTGAGGGAAGAGGTCAAAAATCCCGTTGTTTAGCACTTTTAAAATTTCCCAGGCCAACACAGCGCATGTTTCATTCAACAAACTGACTATCCACCAACTTCCGTGACTGTGCTCTGGGCCAAGCATACACAGGCGTATGAGATGCAGTCGGCATCCTTAGGAGCTCACCATCCACAGCAGTGGTTCTGCTTCCCAGGGAGGGGAACCTCATGAGAGTCAACAGGGGAGCTCATCTCATGCTCCTCTCTCCCCTCCTCCCCAGCCTGAGTGGGGGTGCCAAACACAGAAACAGGTTGTTACCGTATTTGAGAAGAACAAGGTTGAGAGCACCTATCGGTGTCTCTGGTGGCAGGGCAGGTACCAGCCATGGCATCGCAGAGCACTTGCCTTTCAAAGTGACTTTTGAAGGATGAATGAAAATTTCCTATGGGAAAACATGATGGAAAGGAAGGAGAAAGGGTAACATGGACTCTAAGAACAAGGTAAAACGTAGAAACCGGCAGAGAACAGGACAAAGACCAACACTCAGTGGGGAGATTGAGTTGGCAGAGGAACCAATGGACGGGACAGAGAAGGCTGGGCACGGTGGCTCACGCCTGTGATCCTACCACTCTGGAGCCTAATCCAGCTCTCTGGGAAGCCGAGGCAGGTAGATACCTGAGTTCCAGACCAGCCTGAGCAAGAATGAGACCCTATTCCTACTAAAAATAGAAAAACTAGCTGGGCATGGTGGTGGGCACTGGTAGTCCCAGCTAGTTGAGAGGCTGAAGCAGGAGGATCTCTTGAGCTCAGGAGTTCAAGGTTGCTGTGAGCTGTGACTCCACGGCTGTGACAGAATGAAACTCTGTCTTTTAAAAAGTGACAAAGAAGAAACAATTTTTAAACAATGTAAAGGAAGGAGGCCAGGAGAAAGGTGCTCCGAGAAGTCAAGGGGAGAGAATCTTTCCAAAAGAAGGGATGGTTCACAGCAACAGATGTTACAGGCCAGATTAAAAGGACAGGTAATAAACAAACAGCCACAGGCTGGTGGTCAGGATGACCTCAGCAACTGGGTTTCAGGAGCTCGCGGGGCAGAAATCAGACTGAGGTGAGAGTAGGGGTGATGGTGTGAAGACAGCAAGGGCCGTTCAGCAGTGATGGGTGGAGGGAGAGTATGGGGCCAAGGCAGACCAGGTGGAGCCCAAGCCCATTGGGAGAGTAGCCTGTGTCTTTGAGGGTGGACAGGTGAGTCCGCAGAGGGGCAGGAGGGAAAACAGCTCCGTTGGCAGGTCTTTTTGACATAATTAAGTTGAGGAAGAGTGTGTCTGCTGGCCCTGGCTCTCCGGGCAGCCTGCTGCAGTGAGGCAGGGGGTGCTGGCGGCACTCCCATTTCCCCACCCTATAAAAGCATCTAGGACCAACTTTCCATCCCATGGTCTGCCCCAGATATTTCACAGCCTGAAATACATACACATTTGCAATAAAGAGACATGTCTTTTTTAAAGTTTTATTTTATGATTATTATTGTTCTGTTTTTTGAGACAAAGTCTTACTCTATCACCCTGGGTAGAATAGGTGGTGTCATAGCCCACAGCAACCTCAAACTCTTAGGTTCAAGCAATCCTCTTGCCTCAGCCTCCTGAGAAGCTGGGATTACAAGCGCCCACCACAACATCCAGCTGGTTTTACAGATGGGGGTCTCACTTTGGCTCAGGCTCCTGAGCTTAAGCAATCCACCCACCTTGGCCTCCCAGAATGCCAGGATTACAGGCATGAGCCACCACGCCTGGCCTAAAAGATACACGTTTTAAAATGTATTTGTGGGCTCAGTGCCTGTGGCTCAAGTGGCTAAGGTGCCAGCCACATACACCTAAGGTGGCGAGTTCGAATCTAGCCCGGGCCCGCCAAACAACAAT